GGGCATTAAGGGGGGATAGGTAGGGACTTGAGGGGGCTTTGTTTGCCTCTGTAGCAGGTGGCTTCCCGGGACCTACAGTATTTTCTAGAAGCAGGATGTTGGCAGCCCCAGTTCGCCAGCTTGACCTGTGGCAGGCTGGGGTGTTGGGGCCTGTGCCGTGTCAGGGTTAAGGGTAGTAGGGCTTACACGATAGACGGGATAGGATGGTTTGGAAAGGGATGGTCTGCCTTAGGCAGGGGTTGGGCTAGACTTCCGGAGGTTTCTCCCTGCCCTACTTCTCTGTGATTTCTATGACTCCTATCCTGGCAATGGAGCCGGTTCAATAAAAGCTGCCTCCTTCAGAGAAAGGCTGTCCTGCTTTTCCGCCTGGGAGAGCTGGAGGATGAAAGGGAATTCATTCATTGCAGTGTTTGTCTGGGCCTTGCTCCACATTCAGGAGAAAGCTGGATAGAAACCGGCTGCAGGGTGTTGCATGTTTTCAAGGACTAACTTTATAGTGGGTTGGCTCTTTTTATAGTGGGTCAGCCATTTATTTATTTTTTTACCCATGTGATAATTGCTTTGGCTATATGGCCAGTCTGCATTTATTGTGCGATTCACCACTTAATTGTGTGTGACTCTGTGCATGTGACTGATCTTATTTTGTACATGCGGCCAGTTGAGGTTTATTTCGCGATTCACCAGTTAATTGTGTGATCATGACTGCACTTATGGCTGGTCTAAATCTGATTGCACAATTTGCCAGTTAATTACGTAATACATATAACATGTAGCAGGGGCCTGATTGATGCAGAGTGTTAGTACCCCTAAAACCTGAGTCCTTCTCTGCCCTCACTCCTTGCGAATTTAATGGTCATTGTGAAGAGAAAAAGGAGGATTAATATTTATATAAAAGTAATTGCTTTTAAAACTTTCCCATTTGTAGGTATCTGTGAAGCAGCAATGGCAACAGAATCTCCCCGTCGTCCTAGCCGATGTACTGGGGGAGTTGTGGTTCGCCCACAGGCTGTCACGTAAGCATATTTTATACAATGTCCAGTTACGCTATTTGAAATGTCTGCAGGATTGTTGTACAACAAGTACCTGGCACAAACATTCTCACAAAATCAACAGGGAATGACTGTCTAAAACTGGGAAGTTTTGTTGCGCTGAGAATTTTCCAGAGGAAAAAAAGTAAATGCACTGCTCTTTCCAGCTTCCCAAGATTATACGCAGCAGGCAGCCTCTTTAAAAAAGACACTTGTTAGGGCAGTAACCAACATGTTGACCAGCCTTTCAAGTTGCATCATAGATAATTGACTACCTTTTATAAACAAAGGAGAAGATTGCAAAACAAATGTGTTTAGCAAGCAAAAATATTATGCTAGCTATAATGTAACCATAACAAGTTTGACCCTAGTTTTTCTGTGTCACAGGGGGCATTTTGGTAAATAAACATTTTTCCCAGTATTGTGCTTATTTATTTCATTCATGTGAGAGGATATTAAGTTAAAACATATAACATATAATGTTAACCAGCGTTTTCCAATGAGTGCGGTTGTGGATTTCATTATGGTGCTAACACAGAAAAATTTATGGCCAGCCAAAACACAGCATGCAAGTAAGAGTTTCTTGCTTTTGTCATGCCTCCTAAATTGCCACCCTTCACTCACAGAAGCACGGTGGACGTTCTCAGTGAGAGGATCCAGAAAAACAATGGACATGGCTTTGCCTGTCATGAGCTGTTTTATAGCAGCAGAATTTCTTTAGGGGTGACATTATGCTGCTGAATTGTCATTGCAGTATGGCACCATATTCAAATACTTATACCTGCTTTGGCAACTCTTATGTGCATATAAGAGCTAATGTATATGAGTAAACAAACCAGGTAATGTTAGATATCAGGATCTGTTTGATCTGCCCTGGAGCAAATAGAATAAAGTTGTTCCTATAGCTCTGTGAGAATTGTATAGAGAAGAAGGTTCTTTCAACCCAGGCTACTATGGGAGGGAGGAAATGCTAATATCACAGCACTGTCCATTAACATGCATTGCTGTCAGTGCTGTGATAGTGAGAACCCTGAAACTGAGTAGCTCCCCTCAATTTCAAGGTGTCTTATGTCAGCCCCTTGACAGGTGCTTCCCTTTTACTGTTTCTGACCCACTTAAACAGAGTATAATTAGTTACAAAGTAGGTTATAGTTGCAATTAGCATGCAGTTTTACTGCAGTACAACCAAATGACAGAGTGGACATCAGGGCTGAAAGATGCTACACACTTAAGGAGTTGTGCACACACACTGGTTATCTCTGCATATTAGTTATGTTACAATGCAAGCAATAAGTAACATTGGGACTCTCACTGTATTCTGTAGGTAAGTTTAATTATGTACTTACAGGGCACGTCTGCGTGAGATGCTATATCACCATAGTGTCACCAGGCACAAACTGTGACGCTGACGCTACTGCACAGTAGCAACAAGCTACTGCGCAGTAGCTGCTAAAAATAACTGTGCGGCATCAGGACTGCACAGTAGCGTGAGTTACTGTGCAGTTTGCTGCACGTGTAGATGTGCCTACAGCGTACTCTACTTATCTGCATGCCATCTATGTGCATGTGAGGAGGTATGGTGATTTGCATGAGTGGTGATTTGTTCCATGTTACGTTGTCCTAACCTGAACAGCTGATACCTGAATAGGTATCATCTTTTATATCAGAATTTAACTTCTTTAGGTAACATGGTACAAATTTCAGCCTTTTGCCATTGTTTTGAATTGCTAGGTTATATATAAAAAGTAACGGCAACACTTATTGTACAAAACATAAGAGGGGCACGTGCAAGCGACAGGTTTGCGTTTGGCCTCAAACACAGATTTCAGTCCCCCCTTAGAAGCTAGTTAGAAATCTCTCGTGTTTTAAAAATAAGCATTTTGAAGTTATTAGCCTGCAGCACTCTGGCTGCTCCACATGACATAATTTCTTTCCAAGAGAGATTTAGGTTACATTCACTGAACAAAACACATCTGCTTGCTTTGTCCACAAGCAGTGTACCTTGGAAGGGATCAATGTTCATTTTTATCTCTGAAATGAGCAACGAAGTCATTACCACTCTGCTGTCATGATGGTTGCTGATGGACTACACCTGAGAATTTCATACGTTAATTATACTGTATAACACCTCTTTTTTACAAATGGGCATGGAAAAATTATGACTTGGCCAGGACATCCAGTAAATTAGTTGCAGAAAGAAGGGGAGGGAAAATACAGGAGTCCTATAGCCAACTTCTCTATCTAACCACTAAAATAAATTCTGTTTAGCTTTGTAATCTTTAAATCCACTTTTGTCAGTCTCGATTTAGAGTCTGTGGCATAAAAGTGTATGCAGAAACTTGTATGTCTTCTGCCATACTACTATCTTTGCTGGAGGAAGCCTCATTCTTTAAAAGATGTAATCTTTTCTTTGTGTGTGCGTAATATTTGCGCAGTTCTGTTTTAGGAGAGAAATTGGAACGTGACTAAGTTTTTTTGGTATAAAGAATCTGGATTTCCCACCCAGTTCTACAAACTCTGTCAATGGTGGTCCAGTTTCTTTCTTGTGATTCGTATGCCGAGTTTGAACAACACAGGTCTTATTTAATATGTAAAGAATGTCTCCCAAAAATAATCATAAATTTGGAATCTTCCAAAGCTTGTTGGTAGATGAGAGCTTGGAAAATTGCTAATTCTCTTTGTTTAGATTTACATCAGCAGTTGAACACTGTGCATATTGCTACAGCGATCAGTTGCCATGCTTTATAGAAAATATAAATTTCTTGCATATTCACAGTACTACCAACCTTATTATTTTGTTACTCATTAGCTGCATAGCATACTTGGCTCACCTCTCATGTAAAATAATCTAAAACAAAAAAAGCCTTACATTTTGTTCTGGTACATTTAAACTATCTTGCAGCATACATCATCGCCTGCTTACTTGCAGCTGCTAATGAATTGCCAGGAGCAGTGAGTTTTACAGGCCTAAATGTGCTGTACTGAAAATGCCTTCCTCTTGCTCTTAGCCAGTTTTATCTTGGAAACTGACAGTAGATGGGTCCAGCAATCTGACTTCAAAATGCTACATAGCACACACAAGCCAGCAGGTAGTTCCCCTTGCCCAGGGAAAGAAATGTTCCAGACACTGTTCTTTTTAAGGCCTTTTCCTCAGGGCTTGTTTTATTGTCCACAAAGCAATTGAAAAACAAAAGCAAATCAACTGGAAAATGCTGAGCAATATTTCCCAAAGGTATGCCCTGCTTTAACCATCAGGAGGGAAGAGGACTCCATCTCTCCTTTGACTTAACTTTCTCTTCCTTTTATATTTTGTCAGTCTGTTGCCCTATTAGCCCCTTGCAGACTGTGGTTTCGTTATGTTACATGGTTGGGTGGTTTATTAAGGTAGTGAGTCCCAGATTTTTCAGTACTTTGCCTAAAATCCAACATGTTTAGTTATACTCTGCTACGTGTTAAGTTGATATTCCTGTAACCCTGTGAGGGAAGTATGGAGGTTTGCATTTCAGTCTTGGCACTGCAAACCAATTAATTTGTTTATAAAATACATGCCGAAATTAAAGTTGCTTCTACTATTTGGTGCAAATGTAAGTCTGTATCTTTATGAAAACAGAGTTTCTTTTTGAGATTATTTTTATTCTGTTCTATTCAGCATTTAGCAGGCAATCTAAACTGAAACATAACTTGCATCATTTCCTAAACTGAAATATAACATGCATCATTTCCTTGGTGGTGCATGCACTCGTGTTTATGTCCATGCAATGTAGTCACATCCTATTTTAGACATGCCAGATAATTAACAACTCCTTTTTCTTGTCTTCCAGAGAACAGTCGTATATGGAAAGTGTTGTTACATTTCTTCAAGATGTTGTACCACAGGTAAGTGTGAATTTTTCATATAAGCCAAAAAAACCCTTCTTTGCTAATTGGATAACCAATACAAAAAGGTTATTGAAGATAAATAGTGATATTTTTGGTCCAATCTATGTTTAAATTTAAAGGGCCAAGATTTTTTAAAAGTAATTTTCAGTGCTTTATTTTAAGTGCACCATTTGAGACCCCTTATAGGGGGTTTTAGACAGTTAACAGAGGAATGTCTTCTGACGCTATGTCTGCAAGTCAGGCCGCTTTGTGGGTTCTAAAATCATTAGTTAAGTGAAAATCTTAAAGCATTGAAGTCTGTGTTTGGGGGGGGGAAGCATAAATGTACTAGGAAGATGATTTAGCTGTTCATATACTTAAAGATGTGTCAGTGAAGGAGATCTGCTTGTAAGGCAGATGGAGAACACGCTGGTAGAGTCCAGCCCTTCCGGATACTGGAGCATTTACCCAAGTGCTATTTCTGGACTGTGCTTTGGATCCTATGTGTTGTCTCAATCTTTTTGTCCCCCCCATCCTCTCTTCACTTGCTCTAGAACCTCCTGATTCTTTAGGGTTGTGGGAATCTGCTAATCTATTCTCCTACAGCCTCTAGCTTGCTGTGAGCAAGGGGGACCAGATGAGTTTGCCACTGCTTTCTCCTACAGGCTGTAGTTCTTGAATTGTCCTTTGGGGAGAATAGCTTTGATGCTGGTCTTTGCTGTTCATAGCTTTCCTCAGGAACAATTGATGATTGTGATCACTGCCCACAGTCTTGTAAGTAGCAGGGGGAAACTAACCAGAATGGTAATTTCATGCTCCTAGTCTCTGGAAAAGCAGTGGGCAGTAGTAAAGACGCTGCAGCTGTTCATCTGTAGACTCAGGAAGGCAGCAATATGTTGGCTCATATCTGGAAGGTGAGTTGAACTCCAGACCGGCTAGAAACCTTTTTTTTATTTTTTTAAATAGGCAACTCTCTCCCTCTCCCTGAGAGACAGTTTCCTGTTCACTACTGGTAATTTATCAAATGCATTTTTTAAAGCCATGATAAAATGAAGCATAGTCAAATTTGCAGTTAAAGGGTGTGTATGTGTATGTGGTTTTTCCCCTAGAATCTTTTTCTGTAGTTAAAATGATGCAATCTGTGTCTAACTTTACAAACCAGTTTGCTTTGAAAACATGGAACATGCTTCGTTTTGAAAAGTAATACCACCACTAATTTTTTTTTTTTTTCATTTATATTTTCAGTTCACATTATTGTCTATCTGGTATACATACAGTGATTATACAAGTCCTTTCCATTTTAAATCCAAAATACTGCACAGTATTTTGCAATAATTCAGTTGGAAACTGTGTTTTTTCCATTGTAACTCATGTTCTGACTACCACAGCCTCTCCTGAGAACTGTAAAACTTGTGCAGCCTAGAAGCACCAAAAAGCTCCATTTCAGAGTTTCTTTGTATTGCATCCCTTTAGGGGTATCTGCAGAATATATTTAACTGAAGTATGGATCTGCTTTGCTGGACTTATACTGTATTCTCTTTCCAGCTTAAACATGTTGCGTAAATTAATGTCATGATTATAATGAAAATTCCATAGTAAAGACCTCTTGTGTTTTGCAGCGTTGCTTATAATGTTTTTAAGTGTATCAAAAAGGAATTAAAAATGAGTATACTCCACATAGATATATGTTTTCACTGATAAAATCAAGGATTATTAAAACAACTGTTTCTTAGTTTGCTTAGCAAAAAGACAAATACTGTTATTGTTCTGATTATAAGTCTTGCCGCCTTTTTTCCGTCCAACGGAACCATCAACATTACATTTGACTTATGGGGCTGACCTATAATGGGCCCACTATAGTCCTGACTTCTATATTTGCGGTCTGTCTGTGCATACAGTTAAGTGCAGTTTTTGTTTTTAGTATTTTGAGTGCATTTAACTCTTTAAGCCCTCTCCTAGTTTTTTGATTCTCCTTTGGGATTTCGTAAGTGCAACAGCAGTTCAGAGTCTCTTTTCTGTAGTTATCAGCTAATATTCTGGCAAGACACTTTTCCCTGCTCTAAAATCAAACCTGAAAATGTGGGCTGGGCCTAGATGCAGGGTGAACTTATAATCAGAACATGGTATATAGTATTGAAAAAATCCAAAGCCAGTTAGCACCTCTACGCTGCTTCTGGAAAGCTGTGGACTTGCATGCCATTTTTTTCCATTAATGAGCATTGCTAGACTAACTGAATTTTATATTTTGTATTTTAAGGTGATGGATTTCATGGTGAGCGTACTTAATTTTAAATGTATCTAAGAAAAGATATATGCAGGAATACTGCTTTGTGTGTGTGTGTGTTGGTTTTTTTTCACCTTGCTGTTCCTGATGTAATTTATAGAGGAAGGAAAAAAATAAAGTTTTGTTTTCTTATCACCTTTTCTGCTTTGTTGTAGGCCTACAGCAGTACCCCACCAACAGAAGAAAAAGAAAAAATAGTCTGGGTCAGATTTGAAAATGCAGACATAAATGGTATGACTATTTTCTTCTCCAACTTATTTTTATTCTTGTATCGCTTGAACTCATGCACAATAATCTGAGCCAGCAAAAACATAAAATTGCAATATAGACAGAATTTTGTGCATAAAGAATAGCTTTATAAAGAACAGGCATGTTCAGGGTAGAGTTTGTCAGGCAACATCCTGAGTGTATCTGAAACTTCTTTTGAAGATGAGCAAACTCTAGCTTTGAAGAAGTGAGGGAAGCAGATTCCAAAGCAAGTCTCTGATCCCTCCCATTTTTCAAATCGGTTGAAATGAAAACATTGAATTGGGTATAGTCAGTGGACTGGTTGATTCCTAGCTTTAAATCACTTGATCTCTCCCACCACATTGAACTGGTGCAGTGACATAATCCATATTCCATGGTAGCCGCTTAAGATGTTTTGCATCACTCTTTCCCAGTAATCTCTTTTCAAATAAGACAGGCTATAGACAGCATGATCGGTAAGGTCAATTCAGTGTCAAATGAATAACGGTCAGATGAGTATTTGCTTGAGTGAATCAAAACATCTTGCACTCATATGGGTGTTAATAGTGCATGTCAATTTGTTTGTACTAGCCATGTAGGTGCAAGCAGCTGTCCAAATCCTTTGGAACCTTCTGGAGCACAGTGGTTTGAAACTCCATCAAGGTTTGCTTCTTGACTGCATCTTTAGTCTGCTCTTTTTGTCCCAGCGGTCAGGACTTGTTCTTGTCCCAGATGAGACTCAATAGTATGGCCCATGGCTGGGGTTGGGAGTCTTTATGGCATGTAAGACAGGTTACATGATTTATATCCTTTGGAATGGCACAAAGGCTGCTCGGTCTCAAATATACAGAAGATGGAGATGGTAAAAGGCCTGTTGATCTGTGTGAGTCACTGCCTGCAGCTCTAGCCAGTGCATGTTGTTCCCTGCTGTTTTCATTTTCCCTCACTGTCCATCTTAAGTGTTCCAGCCTCTTCCCTTGAAGAGTCTGCTTTGCTGTCTAGTAGACAATTTCTTGCATTCAGTCAGACCACTAGTCTAAACTTACCTTTTGTCCAATTTAATCCTGTTAGTTTTATTTAACCTGCTTGCACCCCCCATAATCCTTCATGTTTGCATGCTTTTAAGAAGTGATGATTTACATTCTAATGAAGAGCGGCTCAGGTAAAGTTATGCATAGTTGGCTATTTTAGCTTGCATTTAGCTTGTCTTCATATTTTCCTCAAGCACTGTGATGTTTGTATGGGAATTGTCTCTGTCATAGGGATGTTGTAAAGATTAATTAGGTGGTATTTCTAAGTAGTTTTGATTTGTAGAAGTGCTACATAAGTATATGTTTTTTCCCCTATGAATTTCCTCTGTTCTAAAATGAGAGGACGTATTAAAGAAGACATCTTTGATCCCTCCATTTTCTTTGTGTAATGTATCTTCCACAAGGCACTAGTAATCTCTGTTAATAAATAATATCTCAGCAGAACACTGTAGACTGTGCAGATTTTATAAAGTTGGCTTCAGAGTGGTAGATATGAAATGTGAAGAGGCTTATTGCAAGGACTTCTTGTTACTTCTAGAAAATTAACTTTACCATGTCACATTAACCACAGAAGGTAGAACTAACAGAAGTCCTTGGGGCAGCTAGTGGGAGCTAGCTTTGTTAGGTGGGATAGGAAATATCCCAGCATCCTTCCATCTGCACTGACATGTTGTATCCTCTCACTTGAGATTCTGTTTACTGAGCCTACTCCTTATGTCTAAGGTCTGTGTCCCATTATTTTTTTTTTTCAGTTGTAGGAATTTAAAGGCTGGAAACACTTTGGCTTTACCTTTAGTTGTAGTAATGTGAACATGGATTTAGAAAAAGGCATACAGTGTAACTGTGCTAAGACTGATTTGGTTCTAACTAGATATCTTTGCTCTGATAATCAAACCTACTTTAGATACGTCGAGGAATATGGAGTTTCATGAAATACACAGTACTGGAAATGAACCCCCTTTGCTGCTAATGATCGGATACAGTGATGGAATGCAGATATGGAGCATACCTGTAAGTACATAGGAAACTTCACCTTCAGACACTAAGACTTGCCCAGATATTGTTGTTCTACCATATCTAAATTTTTGTAATGGAATGTAGTTGTATTACTTTAACTATTTCCTGCTCAGTATTAGAAAGATTCAGCATTCACCCATATTAAAAAGATTAATATTTGGTAAGCCTCAAACTTAAATTAAGCTACTTCAAATCTGATCCCCCCCCGTGCCCTCCTCTCCCTTCCCCTTCCCTGCCCCTCCTGCACCACACAAGCCATCCCATCCCAAGGCAGGTGGTGGCTCAGCTATGGCTTATTCCTGAGCCTGGGGACTG